AGCTACAGCTTTGTATAAGACTATTTTTCGATCAAATGTAAGGAACAAAAGTTATAATTGATTAAAGTTACTGATGTCTTATGATTATGCTCAATCAACTGCGCAGCAGGCAACATTGGTGTTTCTGGCGCGTAGAATAGAGCACAAACATCATGGCTACTATGTCAAACTGCAGAATACAGTGTTGTCCACAGAACTAGAGAGTGTCTAGTATAAGAGAGGAGCGGATTCAAAACAAACTGCCTTGGCAACCTATGCCTAGGTGATTTCTAGCAACACTGCCAATGCAATCAAGATAGGCGCTGCTTGATTGGCTCTGGTTTGACAGTTCGTTTGGCTCATAACCAGCCAGTCCACTCCTCTCTTACACTAGACCCTCTCTACACAGAACCTAACTGCAGTCAACTGGGTTTTTTTTTTCATGTTCATTAAGGGCATCTTTAGCGGCGATCCAATTGGTTGGTTTGGTCTAAAATTTTGGAGCAGACCCAGACCGAGCCCTTGTACTGGTGGTCTATATTTTGTTTTAGACTAGTTCTAAAATGTGTTTTTTTTTTTTTTAAACCAGTATAATTCTCGATCTATTTTGAACTGAATTTGGATCAAGGCAAGCACTGTTCCAAACTAGTTTGACAGCGAGGGGGGCGACACATCTAAATCTCAATTCTAGATGCTCAAAAAATCTCACCCTAGCGAATCAAACTTCGAAAAATTATCTTTCATTTCTCGCATCTACTTGCATCGTACTTCATCTTTTGCAGGAAATCTTCAAAATCGACATAAATCTGCCTTCTATCTACTCAGCGTGCGTGTAGCTAGCCACAGCAAAACACAATCTTTTCTGCATCGTAGATAGAGTCGCCCCCCTCGTTTGACAGCTGTCGCACTCGAGATTTTGTTTTGTTTTGTTTCGTTGTTGGGGTTTTTTCAGCAAAACAAACCGATTTAGTTCCTCGATTTTCTAAGAAACGTGGGCGGAACAATCGACTGCTGTTGACATTGGTGTAGTTCCAGCTCTATCGCGCTATAGCTGCTGCTGTTGCTGCCGACCGTGCCGTCACAGCTGCGAAAGGATCACAAGGGAGACATCCGGACGCTTCTGTTCTGCAGGATTTTCCAGTCATGTTCTGGAAACTCCCAGAGAAGTGGCCAGTTTCTGACTTTGTCCAAAACTCATCATATGACACATCAAATCACATTAGATTTCAAAAGCAATATCAATGGTAGTCAAATATAGTGCACAGAATCATGTTGACCCCTATCGGATATGTTCCGGACACCTCAAAGGAAATGGCCAGCTTCTGATTTAATCCAAAACCCATCATGCGCCTCATAGCAAATCACATTAGATTTCAAAACCAAGATCAATGGAAGTCAAATAATGTGCCCAGGACCACCTTTCTTACTTTCAAGCATCTTCTAGGGAAATGACTAGTTTCTGATATGGTCTAAACCCTTTGATGTGTCAAATCTCATCTGCGTGTCACGTTAAAACAGTGATGCCATTCGTACGGAAGGTACTGACATGATTTAATTGCTTCTGTTTAGAATAGTCATGAAAATTTTATGAATAATAATTCAGATTTAGTAAAAACTAAGCTATCACTGCAGCTTCTACTGGAGCAGTGTTGCTGGTGTGAAGAGCGATATCTTTTTCCCAATGAATCAAGATATGAGATTTTAATATCGACTAGAGCCAAGAATACTGTTTATCTGTTTCGACTATTCATGCATGTTTTATTTAGAGGAATTGGATCATCAGGATACATCAGGAAACTACCGTTACAGGTGAATATTTCGGCCTTCAGAGAAAATGGAATCATGCGAAAATTGACGATGACATTTTTTTAATTCTGTGTGGGTTAAAACATGAACAAATAATAACAAACAATAACAAGTATTCAATCAGTACAGCACACAGTGGTTTAAAAGTGAAAATTCGTGAACTGAATTGAACCCCGATGTTTGTGTACATTTTAGCCATTTGACGTGTTCCAACGATTTTCATAATGGTCTGTTCCGCAACTTTTCGAATAATCATCTTAAATTTTTATTAAGGTGCAACTGTACTTCAGAAACCTAACTATTCCATTTCAACAAATAGGGGGGTACATAAAAAAGTTATAGAAAATATTATTTCAAGAAACTTTGCTCAAGACATCAAGTTGCCATGACTTCAATTTGCCGAGATATAGGATATTCTTTGACAGTTGTACCTTAAGATCAGTTTTTTAAGCTCTTATATACTTTAATCACGGTGTATCGTTGATACTTGCAGAGATTTTAAACTAGGAAAATGTTGAAGCTAGTTAAATTGAGAATCCTTTACAAAGCTCTTTTGTTTAGGAAACATCTGGTTAGTTAATTCTATCTTAATTTATAAGAACAATAACAGGGAGCATTCAAATGAAGGAACAAACAAAATAAAATTTACAAAATAAACTAAATTTCAAAATCCTTGAAAGTTTCATTCTCAATCTCCGAATCACTTTCTTCTGGACTGTCCATGTTCAACAAGAACTTTGCATCTTGAGACAACGTTTCTGTCTCCTTTTTAGGATTTTGTCGCATACTGGAGATTAGTGGGTCCGATGATACAAGCAAACGACGAATCAAGTCAAGGTTCAAGATCATTCTTGAGCATTGTCTTGTATGATCTCGACGATATCGCTTGAGATCTTTATTTCTAGATTCCTGAGCCTCGGAAAGCTGGCCTCGGTCGTAAAACGGCAGCGATGTGATCAAAAAAACCTCTACGTGTTTTTTAAAGGGTGACCCCAAACTTATGATCGGGAGTGTATGAGAGAAAATCTGAGAGATGCAATATGGATTATGGAATACTTGGATACCTTTAGAATGATACCTGATCAATCTGAAATCTAGAACATCTCCTCATCCATTAACGTATGAGTTAAGTAAAAAAGTCTCGCGTAATGTTTGAAAAGGGCCTATCCTCGTTGATCGATTCTCTTCAACGACATTCTCTTTGGTTTACCACGGCAACATAAACGAATTTCTCGCTAAGCTCGCAGCACAGTTCGACAGAAGATTATGTTAGCTTCCACCTGAAACAACACACTGAATGGGAAATTTATTTACAGTCGGGTTATTCGCGAAAGAGAATCGATCGCCTTTTCTCGTGTTGCGCGAGAAGTATGCGTTTGGCTAGTACTGTCGCATTAAAGGCCCTTAGCTCATTTTCAACTTCTATTCAATTTTCATACTGCCGTACTCTTGCGGAAATATCAACCTCTCCTGTTCAGACCTTTCTCTAGCTAGTAAATTATCACACTAAAGCTTCATGTTAGATAGCATTTCCAACCAACTGTGAAAATCGTAAACTTCACGTAATACAAACACTTTGAATGTAACATCCTGAGGTTTTCAATGCAATCTCTTATAACTTGGCATTGTTTTAAATAATGTCTGAGCAACCTGGAATCTTTGAGAATATCATGAAAATGTGATTTAAATTGTTGAGCAGATGAAGATCTTCTGATCATGCTCAAGTGAGGAAATTTTGAAGATCTATGATCGATTGGAGGCATTTTAAATAATTTATGAGCAACCTGGTATCTTGAAAAACGTATAGAGGATATGATTTGAATTGTTAGGCAGTGGAATTGTTTAGATCTTTGATCACCTGAAGGTCTTTGCAATAATTTCTGAGCAACCTGGTAAGATGAGAGAATATCTGGGAGATGTGATTGGAATTGTTGAACAGTTGATGATTTTCAGACTGATACCTGATCACGCTAAAGCCTTTATCAGATATCTTGAAGATTTTTTGAAGATCTACGATTATGTACCTGGAAGTCTTTTGAATAATTTCTAAGCAAACTGGCTTTTGAGAGGGGCAAGGGCATTGCTAATTGCAGATATTTTGCAAGGACGCACCGATTGCCCTGTTCTTCTTAGGCAAAATGACATCAATGTTCAACCCAGAGACCTACGGATAATTCAATGCTGCGCCTGCCCATACAGCGAACTAATTATAGCATGTTTCGCGCAATCGGTGGTTTACAGAGACTCTTCAATAGGGTCTCCGCACTATTTGACTTTGACCTGACTCGCCAGCTGCTTCGCCGGAGGTTTAGTTCTTCTTTTTTTTCTAGATCAGTTTAATTTATCTAGAAAGGTTCCTTTTTTTACGAGATGACTATTGAGTTATTGATGTTTAGTTATAGTACTATTCCCGGGAAACATAAAATTGAAATTGATTCTGGGAATGGAAACACTTATTGGACCTAAGCCCCTGGGTAAATCACTGGACCACTTGTATCAAATCGGGCACATTAAGCTTATTTTGGGCCGATCTTAAGTGTATTTAAAGATTTGCTGGTGTGCATAAATATGACAATGAATTTCCATCCTCGAAAAAAAAAATCAAAACATTTCAAACCGTTCAGAAAATTCCACACGGTTGAACGACTTCTAATTAACGGCCATCAGCAAGTTAAGTAAGTAAGTGCCCGCAGTAGGGAGCGCGAAGCGTTAATTATCCTAATTTTGTCAGTTAATGAACAACATCCGTTGCCGGGGAAACAGCTGCCTGCCTCGTAAAACCTCACGGACAGCGGTGATCAACGAAAAATTATTCCAACCTTAGAGAGACGTGAGAGCCGGAATTACAATGAGTGTTTATCCACTTTGGTCAACTCACACAATCACTGTATATAGCAGGGAAGAAAAAAAGGAGCGATAGAGGAGAGTGTGTGAGAGAGAGAGAAGAACGTCAACGACGTACTCACGAATTCAAAAGTATTTAGGGTATGAATGGCCCTCCCTAGGTCAAGGAAGGCAACGAGAGGCGGGGGACCCCAAATGTATCAGTTGACTGAACTTGTTAAATCATAAAAATAATTAAATCAAATAGAGCTCCATCGCAGCAGCAGCAGCACCGCTCTGAAGTGCCACCACGGCCAATGCGTAAACAGCTCTAATTTTCAAACTGGGGGAGCGAAAAATAACGAGCACTTGTCTCACTTTTCTCATTGCAGTGATTCCATCGAATGATTTCGGACGCGTGTTAATTGGTAAACTTGGTGCGATATTTACGCTAAAATCATCACTGCATGGAAGAGCACAGGAAACGTAGAAATGACGAAACTGATGTTAGCACGTGGTTGAATTTGATCCGGACGAATCTTAAAAGTATCTACAGGTAAGTCGTTGAAAACTATATTTCTGTCTTTTAGAGTGACTTACCCTATCCATTGGCTTGACTATAAATTAAGATGTACACGCCAAACTCTATTTATGTAAAATTCTACATTTTCCTGCATATTTTGCATTATATTAATAAGATTTCCGTGAATAAAAACGACAACAAACTCTTCCAAAAAAAAAGAGCATCAACTCCTCTAGGGTTGAACCGCAACCGGCCGGCCCGCACTACTCGACGAAAGTGTGAAGAAAAAGTAAACAAAACCTCATGCTATCACCTCGTAAAAAGCAAGCCTCATGAAATGACTTGTGTTACACAACATACAACTACGGTGAGTTCCACCCATGGCCAGCCGACCACGAGTCCCAATTTCAAAAGCCATATCTTCTTGTTTACTGTCCCAGTGTTCCTCCGATGCACACACACACACACATTCACTCAGGTATCCTTTTCCTCATTCCTTCTAACCGCATCCTTCTTGGGTCGTGCTGCTGTATGTAGCTGGCAGCGAGCCGAAGGAAAATTTATGACCCATCCCCGAGAGCCCTAACCAGAAAGCATCAATAAGGTGCGGTGAGAGAAACGTCACAAGGAGAAGAAATTATGACCATAAGACTGCAGGAATATGCTTCTGGTTTGATATCAGTAGCACCAGCCCTACTCTCTGCCATCAGCAAATGGGACAGCTGTGGGTTCGGTCGTTGACGACGCGGGACGAAAACTGGGAGTTCTTACGGCGATCCTACTAATTGATTATTTGTTACTGTAGTGTAGGCAACATACTACACCTTCCGGAAGGAAAGAACACTGATAGCTCCAAGGCAAGACAGATGGTAGGCGAGACCGAGGCGAGAGGAGTACATGTGTTTTACTCAAATTAATTACCCGGCGCAAACAGTATAATTTAAATGACATAACAACAAATGACAAAATGACAAATTTGAAATGCAATTCACGGTAGATGAATAAGTGAAAAAAAAATTATCTTACGGTGAAGCTTATTTAATTCCTGTTTTCGATCAAGTCATCGGTGTTCAACGAGGACTGTTCATCACTTACCATCCTTACCAGACGTTCAATAAACTAGTTTTAAAATAAATCTGATCCTTTCCTGGCTATCAATAAATACGGTTCTCAATAGGTTATGGGCGACAAGCAAAAACAAGTATCTGTTCATGGAATTGTTCAATTTTCCGGAAGTGGCTACGATACTTGGAAATTCCGCGTTCAGGTGTACTACGAAGTCTCGAATGTGTGGGATGCAGTGGTGAAGGATGTTCCAGCGGTAGCTGCTGAAGCGGTCAAGTTTCATGAAATGAACCGCAACGCAAAGGCACTGCTAGGGAGCTTGGTGTCAGACGAGCACTTAGGATGTATCCGTTTGCTAAGAAGTCAGCCAGGAACAAAGCCGTGATAAGGAAGCAGATCCCTCGTCTTGAATTGAAGGAAGGGTCGTCACTACGAGGTCATGTTCTGAAGTGTGAGGATCTTGTTCGGCAACTCCTGTACCTATTAAAGAAGAAATCGAAGGTGTTTGAAAAATTTAAGAATTTGAAGCAATGTCTACAGAAGCCTGTGGAACGAAGATTTCAGCACACAGTAGATCAAGGGCGTGAATATTTATTGCTCGGGCAATCAGAAGAAGCACTACAAGACCAAGGGGATTCAGATCGAACCAACAGTAGCTTTTTTTTCGGGACATAACACTACTGCGACCAGTAATTTGATCTATTGAAGTACATCCCGTGTCCTTAGTTTAGTGCATGTCTTATTACTCCATCACTATTGAGAAATGATGAAGTATTCGATTACAGTTTTCATTCTTACATTTATCGCAAGGATCCGTTTCTAATTGAAAGGTCCCGCTATTTATACCCTTCGGAGTGTTGAAACACCCTCCAAAGGCGCGCCCCTTTGTCAGTCAAAATTGGATTCCTTAGCCACAAAATTAAGGAATGACACCGATAATGACCATGCATCAGAACCCTAGTCTTAACTACTTCAAACTAGGGAACAACGAATAGAAGATTAGGTATCACATAGATGAAGACTAACTAACTCATTTTGTCATTGTTTCAAGATCATCCTCGGTCCACGCAACCCGAGGACTTACCACTATTAACAAGGCATAAAAAGTAAGATGTGTTCCTTTGATTACTGAAAAATCCTGTTCCTCTAGTTTGAAGTAGTCAGGACTAGAAATCGGTGGTAGATCTTACATCCCATAACGTACCACGAAAAGGTGATCTACCTACGTTACGGGGCTGCAGTAGCTTACTACTCGCAGCAAAACGGGGTTGCAGAGAGACTTAACAGAACTTTGATAGAGCAGGTAGGGGAAAAGTTGGCTTCGGCAATACCTTAACCTATTATCGTCAGGGGGGTAAACAACGTCCTCGAGAGCTCAATTTTGGCATGTGGATACATTGTGTTTCAGAGCAACTATTGGCCAAATTTAAGTGCTATAGGACTTTGTTAACCCCCCTGACGATAATAGGTTAAGATATTGCCGAAGCCAACATTTCCCCTATGTAAAATGATGATAGGATCCAAACCGCCTAAGTCGTTGTGGTGCGAATCCGTGTTGACGGCTGTTTTCCTCGTGAACCGGAGCCCAACTTCTGTGCTATCAAATAGTCACACGCCAGCTGAACTGTGGTACAGGAAGAAACCTAGCCTTGAGAAGGTACGTGTTTTCGGATGTCAAGCCTATGTGTGGGTGCCGAACTAACATCGAAAAAAAGCTGGACGCGAAGGGCCGTGAGCTGCTGATGGTCGGATACGCACCAAATGGTTACCGATTATGGGACAAGAACAACAGGCGAATCGTGATTGCTCGTAACGTCAAGTTTAACGAAGAATTCTTTTCGTGGACTAACGATACCAGAAACCTTTCTGAAGAGCGTTTGGTGGTTCCTCTACTTTATCTAATCTAATCTAATCTAATACAAACGCAGCCAGTACGAGAAAGCATCCTGAAAAATGATTACGTTAGATGAGGTCTAATCATTTTTCTTGTCTAATTGATGTTTACAGCATATCTGAGATATGATATAAACATCAATGCGGCCATGCCTACTGCGTTGTATTTGCCGCAAAGATGATTCTTGGAAATTAATGGGAACATTTCTTGAATCTACAGGGGTGGAAGGATGCGTGGACATACCGTACCAAACGCTCCGATTTACTATGTGTAGTTGTGTAAATATTTGTACAATATTGAAGAATCATAAAATAATGCAATGGAAGGATCTTACCGAATTTTCTCCTATGTACCACAACACATTGCTTGTTGAGCAAAAAAACTAACCACTTGTTGATTCACCGATTTGTTTGCACTTTCCCTTCTGTTCTGTAATTCCGTGCTTCTCGCGGCAATTTCCTTCCGTAGATCGTCCTTGGTCTGTTTTGAACTTTTCTTTAGTATGTCCTGATTATAGCACTTTTTGCTCGTTTTCACGCGAATGGAGGCGAACCAGCCTCAGTCTGAAAGTCTCCTAAATAAAGATAAATCAATCAATCGGTTTCACGCTCTTAAAACGACAATAATCAGATTCAGATCCTCCACATTTCTGGTCTGCCAGAATCTCTCGTACTTCTACCAGTGATAGATGTTGTCTAAAACACCGGAGGGAAAACACGAAACCAGAACTATTCGCAAACTTTATCAATTTAATGAGACCACCGCTAAAAATCTTCGTTTTTCAAGTATTACACAACCGAAAAAAAAGGTTTTTAGACGGAAAACACACAGACAAGCTCTTTGGTGGTTCCTCTACTTTATGAGCAAGAAGGGGAAGAGAATAAGCTGACCGAGCAGATCATCGACGATACCGTTCCGGAACTGCTGTAGATTGTCTCTCCTCGTCAGATGTTCCCAAAACATACACTGAAATTGCCATTCGTGATGACTGCGACCTGTGGTACCAGGCGGTAAACGAAGAGCTCAACAATGGAAGTTGATAACGGTGAAGCCACTCAGAACGAAGTGGATGTTCCAGCTCAAAGAGGACGAGACTGGACGACAAATTCGACACAAGGCGCGATTGGTAGTGAAGGGCTTCCTTCAACGCCCTGGAATCGATTTTGAAAATACATTCGCAGCAGTGGCAAGACTATCAACAGTTTGCGTGGTGCTCGCTGTTGCTGTCCAAAGTAGTTTTCGTGTCCACCAGATGGACGTCAAGACAGCTTTCCTACACGGGGAACTAAAAGAAGATCTCTATATGGAGGTACCAGAAGGCGGGAAAGCGAAATCTGGCAGCGTACGGTTTTTGATCTAATTTCCGTCCTACTATGCACAACCCGCGCTTCTGTCAAAGATAACTTCTAAATTAATTCACCTTTCCATACGTACCGTTGGATTTGATAAAGAGTCACAAATTGTTGAGATATTGTTTAAAATGTAATAGGGGAAATTTTGGCTTCGGCAATACCTTAACCTATTATCGTCAGGGGGTAAACAACGTCCTTGGGAGCTCAATTTTGGCATGTGGATACATTGTGTTTCAGAGCATTTATTGGCCAAATTTGAGTGCTCTAGGACTTTGTTTACCCCCTGACGATAATAGGTTAAGGTATTGCCGAAGCCAACATTTCCCATACTGCTTCCTGATTCTAAATTCGTGCTACGAGTGTCAATTCCGTCCTAACGCATTGAAACGCCATTAGATTTTCTCCGTCGTACGGATAAACGTAGAAAAATGGAATTCGCTACGAGCGCTTCCTTTGTTTTGAGAAAAATGAGCGTAAATATTCATACAATGCGCTCTAATAGGATTTATGTTGTAGCTAATGAACTAACGCAGCGGAACAAACCTATTATTGATTTGTGCACGGTGAAATCATTGATATTATTGATCTTTTCTGATCGATAGAACGAAAATGGGCGATTACGACGAAGTAGTGCTCTACCCTATGCAAACTAAAAAGGTCACTGTACGGTTTGAAACAAGCCCCACGGTGATGGAACGAACGTTTCAACTGAAACTGGGATT